ACAGGCACATACACACACATACACACACCCAACAAACACACACACAAACACATAAACACACGTGCGCGTGGGCACACACGCGCGCACACACACACACACACACACACACACACACACACACACACACACATACACATACACCTCACTATTGTCAGTCAAAATTCTCACCATTAAATGTTCGCTTTTAAGCACAAGGGGGCTGTCCCGAAAAATGCTGTTTTGAGAAAATTGAAGGTAAAGTTTTTGCCCCTCGATTAGTTTCTTAAAAAGACAAGGAGAGTTTATTTCTAAAACCAAACTAACATACACACCAATGAAACCAAACTTCTCCTATAGGTAGGGCGATGCCCACTTTTGGTGGGGGTCAAGCTTTCTGGAAACCCCCGAAATCTGGGTTAGCCCGATTGTCCTTAAAAGCGACTGAATAACTCCAGCGAGTCCACAAACACGAAGGCCTACACACAGATCGCTGACGTTGACAAGCACAGCACAGTTATGCTTGTGGGGGTGTGGCGGGTCATATTGTTTTGTTATAGTCGAGGTCAGCATGCGGCCATTGGAAATAAACAGGCCTATAAGAGATCACATTCAAGCTTTCATCCCCCCCCCCCCTGGAATTTCCACACAGCCCGAATAATTGAGTCACGACGAGGTGAAATCAGGCGGTCGTCAGTTTGTGGGCATGTTGAGTTATTGGCACCATCTGAACGCTGATTTATTTTCCTTGCTTCTACTTCTAATGAAATAGATATCCATCTATCTTGAATAGAGGAACTCGAGATATTTGAGATTGAAGAAAGTCGGGTCGCCTGGTTACAGTGGTGAAATTAGCGAGAAAATGGCCGCTAAAGTTTGGTGACTCCAATAGCTAAAGAGTTTTTGAAAACAGAAAAAAAGACATTTTGTGCCTTTAATCCATGTTTTTCCAGTAAAATTCATATGGAAATGTGTTTTTATATGGACAGAATAGAGGTTGAGCAAAAAATTAAACGGTGAAAACTGACAGGAAAAAGCGTGTTTCTGCGATTCCTGTATTTTGACGAGCGCCTGGTTTCACCACGCTGCTAACCAATTTATATAATATGATACAAGGAAGTGTATTGGTCTGAAGTAAGGTATTCTTTGGTTTAAAGGCTTGACGTCTGGGTTGGGAGATCTGCAGACGTACGCAAACATACGCTCGAGCGCAAGCAAACACGCATGCACACACACACACACACACTTACACACACACACACACACACACGCGCGCGCGCGCACACACGCATACACACACGCACACACAAACACACACACACACACGCATACATACAGGCACACACACACGCGCACGCACACAAACACACACAGTGAATGAAAAAGATGGAGAGAGGGAGACACACAAGCGTGCATACAAACAAACAAAATACACACGCATACGCCGAGAGAGAGAGAGAGAGAGAGAGAGAGAGAGAGAGAGAGAGAGAGGGAGATAGAGAGAGAGAGAGA